TTCATTTGCAGCCTGATGGATTCTTTGAAGTAAATCTTCTTGAGTATTTACTTCAGTCGAGTAAACTAGGTCTTTTAATGACCCCCAAAAATAAAAATCCAATGGAGTTAGGTCAGGTGAACGTGGCGGCCACGCTATAGGACCTCTTCGGCCTAACCACCTGTCTGGAAAATTGACATTCAACCAATTTCGAACAATGCGTCCAAAATGTGCAGGGGCGCCATCATGTTGAAAAAACATATTTTCTTGAAACTGCTGGCGCACATCCAATGGTATTATATCCATGAGCTCATTCTGAAGAAAGTTCAGATACACCTCTGAATTAAGACGATTGGGAAGTAAGTACAATAGGCCCAATTACTTGATCCCGAATTACTCTTGCCCATAAGTTCAATGAAAATCCATGTTAAAAATTTGTACGGCGAACAACTTTTGGATTTTCATCTGACCAGTGATGCATGTTATGGAAATTAAAAGCACCATGCCTAGTGAATATTGACTCATCCGACCATAAAATTCTAGGAATAGTATTTTCATTTGCTAATATCCACTGGAAAAACTCGATTCGTGGTAAAAAATCTGACTCCGTTACATGCTGCACCCGTTTGAAATGATAAGGATGTAATCCTTGCATTCTTGTCATTCTTCCTATCTAAAATAATTATTTTTAGGATAACTATCAAATAGGTATTCATAAATTTTTCTTACTATTGATCGAGGTATCTCCATAATTTCTGAAACATTTCGTTTGCTTATTTGCGGATTATTTTAAAACATATTTAAAGCAATATCCATACGATCATTTCCCTGTGGCCTTCCTGAGCCCTGCATGCGCTGAAAACTTCCATGGTTTGACAAATTCCGGTGAATATCAGTAAACATTCGACGTCCAGGCACTATGCGATTGGGAAATCTTCTTTGATATTTTTCTCACGGCTGCTAATGAACTGCCATTGCAAAACCCGTACACAAAATGCATGTCAGTTAGTTCTCTGTCTGTAAATCTTGGCATGTTAAATCGATTTAATAAAAATTTTGATTTTTATCTAGTCATTTTACACTGCTAACAATGTCAGCTTAACGTCAAAATAAGTCATAACAAATCAAAACAACTTTTGTTTGCAGTCATGGCTAACTATGTATAATCAACAATTCATTTAAATTCGCAGTACATTTCCTATCATGTGAAAAATTTTTTAGTTTGATTTTATTAAAAAATGGCACAATTTATCGATATTCAATAAAAATACCTTTTTTATGTAGAAAACCCTAATTTCAAATATCTACTAAAATTGAATTTCAAAAATAGAATCACACAAAAATTTTGGAGCTAAAATAACCTGAGTCCGTCCCTGTTACATACGCTTCCAAACAAAACTGTTTAAAATTGTTGATATTTCTAAATCCAGCGTTTGGGCAAATTTGAGTTTTTTCCAAATATATCAGTGAGCCATAAAATTCTTACAAGTTTCTTATCGGCATGTGAATACGCCCCAAAAAACACAACTTTAGCCTAAGCTGTATCTTCCTTAGGTATTACCCTCATGCATATGATCCTTATCTTGGACACCCTGTAGAGTAAATTCAGAAACAACTGTGAGAAATTCTCATGGATGACACTACGGTATCTCATTTTATCTCAGATAATTTTTCGCGCGAATATAGCATTAGATTCTCGATGATCAGGTAGAATACATTGATCAATGATAACGGAAGGACTCCTTTGGGAGTGCAGGAATCTTAACAATGTGTGTGTTTGGTCAGCCGGGATACGTGATGATGAGATCTGGTCTTCCAAGGCTCCAGTGAAATATTGCTGGGCCCCGAAATGGCTTTTAGTTTAGTTTTAGTTGCTAACGGAATTAAAATCGTAAAAGAACATTGGATTCAAAAGCAACAGTAATAATTTGAGATTGTAGGCTGGACACAATACAGGAGCGAATGTCCAAAAATCTAGTAACGAAAAACTTAATGGCAAATATTATTCTAGAATGTAATGAAGAGATATTCCCGACTATACGATGAGGTATTCCAATATAAATAATTAACAAGAACCGATCTAGTCTGGTCTACGAAATCGATGAACCCAATTCCGGCTACCTTATTCGGCTTTCTGCGCTACTTTTCCCAAAAATAGCTGTTGAATAATGTATCGGAGCAGTTCTCCAGCTAGCCCTATATTTTTATCAAAAGCTCCTTCATTATTTATATTATCCTTTCCAAGTACTAAATAGGTCAGACTGACTCTTCTTTAATGTTCGATGGAAGCCAATTAAAATCAATCACCTACCTCCCACTCATGAGCCGTCGAATTTCAAGGGCGTCCAAGGGAGGAGGGCTAGGGGCTGATTTACCACGACTTTGCAATATTTGAGGCATTTTTAGATTCCCTCCTTGATAAGAATGTTTCATTGGTGCTGTCGGAGGAAACCTATAATGTGTGAAATATGGGTAATAGGTGGGTGGAAATCCTGCAGACTCTCTGATAAGCTATTGTCAAATCTATGGTGATGGTGGAAGTAGATGAACCTTTTTCGTATTTGGCAACTGATGGTGTTAGCTGTGGAGCCCAGCTTGATGGTCCAGCCTGTTGAGACGTGTGTACAGAATCCGAGATAGTTGAGTTTATTATTGGTGATGTGCCACCTTTGGGAAGTTTCCTGGAATTACTTGGCGGGGGGAGGGATGACGATACGCAAAGACTCAATAAAGGCGTTGGCTTGATTCTGCCGTAGCGGTGCCACATCTTTCGCATAGGCAGGTCACCCTATGGCCGAAAATGGCACGAAACTTCCTTGGCGCGCTCGTTTGGGGTTGAGCTTCTTGTGCTGGCGTGTTGGTGCCGAATCCCCATCGCTAACTCGTTGATAATCTTGTTGAAGTCTCCTATCTTCAACTGTAGCTGCTTAGCCAGCTTCGACCCCCTTCTTTGGCTAGAGCGATGTACTCCTTATAAATAGGCTTGTCCCTACGGTGGCGAATTTGATGTTTGGTCAGCCCCGTTGCCGCCACCATAACTAGCAAGAAGTACTTCTGGTTCAGAAGCAAATTGGCTTCCACGTTGCCAACTATCTATTATACTCGATAAAATGGGCTTTCTTGGTATGTAGCCTTGTGCCAGTCATATGATTGAAATTTCCTGTCACTTACGCCAATCCCTCATGTCAGCAGCCCCCTGTGGATGTTTGGGGGAGGGGGGAGGACATCTTCTATGATGATTTTGTAGGCCTTTGATGGTAATGAACTGCCAAACTTATGGATAGTTGTTGGTTGGCCGGCCTGCTCTGGTCCGGTTGGGTATGACGAACTCAAAGACTGCGACTTGGGGGACATCGGGGAGCAATTTACCGTCATCCCAATTTGCAAAAGCTGAGAATTACACTCAAACTATCAAGCTTTTTCGGTGGCTTTTGCCTACGCGGCCGCTTCGGTATAGTACCAAAAATACAAGTTTGTAATGAACTTCTTTTCAAAAGAAGCTAACTTCCGCCAAACATAACCTTTCATGAATAGATGACAGCGGCGTGTTTGAATCGCAGAGTCAACCTACTTGACTCGTTTCCCAATATATCTGCTCAAGCGGAAAAGATAGGAGATAGCTAAGTCAACATTCAGAAAGAACACATCAAAATTCATGAAGACATCAACTACGAGTATCTAGAGCTTTCCCAAAGCTTTGCTGGCAACTCGATTTTGAGCACCACATGGTTGATATAGTGGTGCATGAAATATTTTTCTCATATTTATTCCAGCTTACCGATTAGTGGTATTACTGTTACACCTGAAAATTATCCTGTAGCTTTCATGGAGGATTGTTAGTGGTATTATTTGACACTTATCACAGTTGTTATATCTTTAGCTTCCCCGAAACCCTGCTATAATAGATGGATAAATTACGTATAGAATGATAAAAAAAGAATCGATCCTACTCAGTCACCTCTTTTTTGAACCGCTGTCAATCAAAAACACCAATCGATATCCGGACAGGTGAATTATTAAAAAACCCGGAAAAACTGGGACGTTGTGGAGGAGGGAGGTTGGAAAAGCCAATCACGTGAACCAACTACGTACTTTCAATTGTTTGTATCTTTGCATGTGGATCATGGTAACCATCAGTTTTTCAACGGCGAGCTTGAGTGGTGTATGTGTATGGGTACTTATGGTCGGTTTACAGTGGATAACGGGGCGATGTTCTCGCATATTTAGATATTTTTTTAGTTATTGCAAATAATTTATATAACATACAATTTGGTCAATTAAAGTCTCGTCATTGGGATCTTGGAAACGGTGAGACATACGAAGTTGGTTAAACTGCGTTTAATAATTTTACGGGGCTAAGGAAGCAGAGGCGTTACAAAATTTGTTCGTAGTTTCGAGATGTCACTACAAAGTATATCGCACTTCAATATTGACACAATCTGTCCAGTGGCAGTCGATTTATGCGCAAAAGAAAAAAATCAGAACATCCCAAACTTTGCTTTCAGATGTGTTTCGACCTTCTGATAATACTTGGGCGCATTTAAAAGGTAGTATGAAGGTTTTTGAGTGTCCAAAAAAGAAATCCGGAAATTTATTTCACTCCTCACCAATTGCGCTTAGAATTTACGTACATTCAGAATTTTTAACAAATTTATATCAAAATGTGGGTAGTACTGAACTTATTTACTTGACTTTTTCAACTTTTTATATTTCTTTTTACAAATAATCCGGATTTCTAAACTCGCAATTTCTTCAATATTTCCATGATTTTCACTATCACAATGATGAGAAGAAGAACTCCAAAACATTTATTGGGTTGTATTATAGCGACACTTGCCATTCTTCTCTAGCACAGATAAAACTTCAGGCCATTTAATTTGACATAACATCTAGTGTAAAAGCCGTGACTTACCCAACTGCACGTCCACTTTAACAAAAACAGTGAAAAAGTGGTATAAAATCCTTCAAAGAATAGAAGAGTATTTTTCAAGAAATGCATGAACCACTGATATCTCCAACAGGCCCTTCGTTCAAGAAGAGCAATATCAGGATATGGATCCACCAGAGAAACCTTGGGGAACTACAGAAGGTGGTGTGGGAGGGCCATGGGGGCAAGTTGTTACCTGAACATAGCAACAACCCTAAGGTCAAGAAGTTTCTAGAGGCTGTGCCACATATCATGGTAGGTTTTTTATCAGATTTTATTGTCAAGTATCGAAATGGAGTAGAGCAGCAAAACTCATTCTACGCCACTCCTAATAATCAAAGCTCAAGGGTTTACCATGCTAAAAGTGCAGTAGAATGCGTTACAATACTCTCATTTCGCAATAATTAAATTCTTGAGCTGGAAAACAGTTTTAAGCTTCAACATTTTACAAGTGAATTCATGAAGCCTAAAACGCTTATACAGGCTGTTATTAAGAATGTTGGTAGAAAAAAATTAGCACGAAAAGAAAAAAGTTACACATAGGTTCGGAAATAACCAGTTTCAGTTATATGAAGCGTTTAAACTTTATGCTTAGTGAAAAATTATACGCCACTGGTTTTTGCACAAATAACTGCTGTTTTCTCATAGATATCGATGACAGTCTTTTGTTACTTCCATTACAAATAAGTGTCAAATCGATTATTTTAACGGTTAATAAAACAATTTAATTGAATTCCGAATACGGTGCACTTTGCAAATTACAGGGTATTATATATTTTGAGACTTTTCCAAATTAGTTTATTGTTATAGGGGTTAATAAAGGAAATCCACACTGACGTTATCCAGAACGACCTTGAGAGTTTGAAGTTGCACACAGCACCTCCCATACCGCCAGTGGTTTTTGTTGCCAAAGACCAAAATGGACTGTCACCTCTGCATAAGGTAAGAAACTTCATATAATCAATAAAAGCTCTTTAACTTTTTTATAGGAGTCGCGCTATTTAAGCTGCTGCCTTCCCAGCTACTTTAATATGAAAAAATCTTCAAAAACGTTTTTGTCGAATAAAAGGATCAGCGATATGTACAAGGCCCACAAAAAAACTAGCCTCAAATACTGATCACATGTTTGGGGAACTGCCGCCCCGAGTACATTGTCCATACGCGTTGCTGTTCAAAGGTGACACTTTTCTAACGGACAGTCTCGGGATCCTTTCGCACCGACGTGTCTTTTGAAATCTGGCTCTCTTCTACCGCCAGCTCAACGGGCTTTGTGCCTCAAAGCGCACCTATATGATGTCAGACGGACCCGCCGGGCTTCTACTTCTCATCCCAACTAGCAAAGTAGTGCTACACGTTTTTAGCAAAGGAACCGATCAGACATAAAAGCTCTCTAATGTTGTTGCCTGAACACCAAAATGCTGGCTTAATGTTGTGTGGAATGCAAATTTGCTTTCTGCAACAAATTTGCTCTAAAATGGGGTGTTTAAAATATTCTTATAGCATAGTTATACAACACCTTATAGGACAAATTTTTAACAATTGCATAAACGTTTATACAACTATTTCATATTGCATATTTACACGTTAGTCAAAATGGTTGTGTTGCGGCATCCATGGTAACGTTTATAAAACAAACCCGAGCCTTGTTATTTTGCTGTGCAAATTTACTACTTTAGCCAACAAATTGCTCCCAACGGAAGCACTTATACAACTGTTGTTTAGTAACTGTTAAAGGCTGTACATATGCAAGAATATTACAACTTTTGAAGTACAAAATTGCTGTGCTTGGCATACATTTGTTGCTAAATATGTTGGTATACAACTTCACCATAACCTAACTTTCTGCTGTCATATTTTTGTTAAAATGCCATAACCAATGTTTTAAGGCAAACAACGCATGCGTATTAGTTCAAAAGGTTTTATCAACTGTTCAAACAAAATATATAGATAATATAATAATAATAATAAATTGCTTTTATTGCTCATGTAAGTACATAAAAAGAAAAAGTACATAAATAAATCTGATGCAGTGAGCAAACGGCAAGGTTCGCTTGATTGACAACCATTAGTTGTCAATCCGCGCTCTTCCACCTAACAAAAAAAAAAAAGATCTGGTACAAATTCTGGGTAAATCATTCGACTCTGTCGATATTTCATTTCAGACATTTGTCAAATTGTTGTATAACACCTGCAGGCAACACCAAAATATTCTAATAATCCAAAGAAAACATGGACGATGCCATGATTATACACAACCACCCGCCATATTGGGCAAACATTTATTCCTCTATTTAAAATTAAGTAATTATGTTCCAGTTCGAAATTACAGATATAAAGTGATAAACATCAGTGTAATTGTGTCTAAATATAGGATTTGTGGAAGATTTAACGCAGATAAGTTGAGTTTTCCATCTTAAAAATCTACACATACTTTTGATCATTATTAAAATATGAATCAAATACGAAGCCCGAAGAAATTGCGTAACTACTTTGCACGATAATCACAATAAAATTTGCTGTGCAAGTGATTCAATAGCCCTTTATCGCAGTGTAGAAGTTTATCATATACCTGTGTATGAAATTCACAATGGCCGATATGTAAGTAAACAAGATTTCGTCTATACAATACATAAGAAATAGTTTGGTTGCAATAAAGTAGAATCACGTAACAGAATAGTTGTATAGTTGACAAAAACTGAATCTTGCACTGACGCAAATGTCCTATTGCGGCTGCAAGAGGCTTACACTTTTTTTGTTTAACTGTTACATGCAGCCCTTATACAACCTCTTAAATAACTGAAGTGTCCTATTAGGTGTGCCCATTCCGATTGTATAGCTGTTTTAAGATGGTTTTGCCAATGCTCTTACAGTATACAATGCTGTGTAAGGAATACTGTATAATCATTCTTTCAACTCTAATAGGAGTGATAATTGTTAGTTGGGATCCCTTCTCCGTCGAACCTCCTACATCTAGAACTGGCCGGTAAGACCGCTCCTTTGTTCCTAAGGGGTCTAAATTGTGGAACAATCTGCCTGAGGAGACCTTTTCCAGTTCTGCGAACCCAGCTTAAAACGGGATTAACAAGGCATCTTTAAGTTCCTTATGGCAGTCGCGGTGACCTGATATTTAGCTTTCTGCCTACGCGGCTGCTTCAGTATAAAAATTTAGTACAATTATTTTATAGGCTGCAGGGTTGGATAAGGAAGAAATGGTGAAGTACATCCTGCAAGAAAATCCAGACGCAATCAATGCAGTGGACAACGAAGGTCGTACCGCTTTACATTACGCCGCACTTTTGAAAGATGACGGAAACATGATGAAGCTACTTATGGACTATGGAGCTGACGAATCTGCTCTTGACAACGTAAGTTTTTGTTATTGTAACAACTGAAACTTAACCTTTGGTTTTCATGTTGATAATCCCCCATGTTTGCCTAGCCGAATCAAACCACATATGTTTAAAATTCCTCTTTATTGTATGGCGTTTCGGTACCAACGGTGACCTTCAAGCACAATTAACACTTTTTGACAATATATTTTTGTTTGATTCGGCCAGGCGAACATGGGCGACTGTAAGTTTTTGTCTAAAATCCAGTCACGAATGACAATTTAATAATGACGCATGCGGAATAGTTAAATGCTTTCTTAGATTTCGCAATCGACATTTTTCATGTGACAGAACTAAAACCATCCGACAATACTGACGCGATCAATATTTATAGCTCATACAGAATTTGTCAAACAATACTAAATTATCCATGGTTTCACAATACTTATTCGCTCTTTCCAGAACCCTTATAAAATCAGACTTATCTGACAAAAGTCACAGCATAGTACCAGTTTCTTGCAATCGACAGTATACGAGGTCTGTAAATTAATACGTTGACTGTCAAGCAGAAAAACATGTACCAGTATATGGTTCTTTTCACGGTTGTTGGCGGTTCAAAGTAAAACTACAGGAATTGCTTTCATACATCCATTTCTCTCATACATACACATGCAACCTACCCCTGTTTGTGATCGTTTGTTCGATAGGCTCAAAGACATACTTTTTTTAGTTGTGTGTCTCCGTCTCGAAAATTTTATCGTTACGTATGCCCTTCAATCATATTTGTCAGAGTGATAACTTACTGAACATCGGTGTTCAATTTAAGTTGTCCTGTTATCAATCTTCAATGTAAAATTGTACAATCCCCGGAAATAAGATCAATGGAGAAGGCCGACAGCTCGTGCTAACTTTATTAGAGTATTTGCAGGAAGAGAATGAAAACAGCGGTCCCCTGTTACCCACTTCATGCGTACTGGAGAGAGTATCAGATGCGCTGAAGATTAGTCTGCGCCCATGTTACGGAGACTCGATCTGTTTACCTATTTCATATAGCGTGGGTGACGTAACCGCCAAGAACGGTGTCTACAAATACATATACCTCTGTGGGGCCAAGAGCAAAAATACATTTATTGGAAATTTAACTTCCCATGCCATCAGAATTAAAATAACGGTTGTTTTTATGAACTTTCTGTGGTTTTTTCATGCAGCGCGGCTCCTTTCAACAAAGATCTAGTAAAATTCTGATTTTGATGAATCACCGAGAACAAGACAAACGAAACAAATGATGCGGAATCCATCATCGAATGAAGCCAGCACGAGCCGATTCATAAAAGCACCTGCATATCCAACCCAAACTAATCAAAACGAACCTGAAGCTGAAAGTTTGAGGAAGTCTGATTCATTGGCAACGCCGGCGCCGACGCCTACTGTTTCAACACATGGTGAGGGATGGGGGCCAATCGCAAGAAGTCACAAAGCCATTCCAACCTATACCCAGTAATCTGGAATAAAACCAGAAGTTGTCGCATTACCAGTAAATGCAAGTCCAGGACAATTCTATGATTCGATTTTCTCGTATATTGCATATAAAACAAATCATTATTCTAGTTCTCTTGCTTGAAACGGATGCAAGTGACAATTTCCGGTACCATATTGGGTACCAACAAATAAAACTGAAATAAAACATTTTTTAGGGCTAGTGGCCTGGATAGGAATGGTCTAAGTACCTACGTCGGCTGACTACTGGTCAACGGATCCGTCATTCAACTTTACTTTTCGTCGTTCTGTATTCAGCCGTAATAGATTTGAAATTTTACTCCGAACAATTCATTTTGCATTTCGCTGGTTATAAACTTGCTAAAATAAAACCTTTAGTAGTAGATAAAGCCCTGAAGAATTATAAAGATCTTTATGCTCCCGAAGAATATGTAATGTGTTGATGAGACTATGTTGCCTTATACAGGAAGATTGTCTATCAAACAATTCATAAAATCGAAAAGACACAAGTATGGTATCAAACTTTTTAAGTTATGTTCAGCAACAGGCTAGAATATCAAAATTTACGCAAACAAAAAGGTGATCGGATAAACCCAGAAAATATTGTAACATTTCTTACCCAAGATATTGTAGGAGTCGGCAGAATCTTATTAACAGACAACAGGTATACGAGTTTACTTTTAGCTAAAAGGATGCTTGATTCTCATACACACCCCATTGGCACAATACGCAAAAACCGCATGGGGCTACCAAAGGAAGTTGTAGAGAAAAAACTTAAAAAAGGAGAAGTTACGGCCATGGAGAACAGATGGAATAACATTACCGAAGTGGAAAGACCAAAGGGATGTGCTTGTACAGTCAACAAAGCATGACGCTGAAATGGTAGAGAGAAATAACACTAGAATACCTAAAGTCATACTACTCATAGGCAAAAGTACTGCGGATCTTTCTGATCAAATGGTATCGAAAACTTGCATTTAAGCTTTTGCTTACAACTTCCATGGTAAATGCTTTTATATTATACAGGGTGTTTCACAACTTATCCGAAACATACAGGGTGTCCGCAAAGTTGGGGTTTTCCTTTTCAGAAACAACTACCCTTGAAATAACAAAGGTAATGTGTAGTGAAACGAGGGCGACCAAGTAAAAAAATAAAGGAAAAAGTACTCACTCTCCAGTTGACGAGAAGGGCTAAGTACGTCTCTGCCCGAAATCATACCGCTCCAACAGAAAATGAAATCAGCTGAAGCGCTACCGAGCAGACGCAGAAACTACATTGATTGTCTTACACTTAATGGCACATCTTCTAACAAGGAAGGCAAAATGTTGCGTAAAAAGTCTAGGTATTGCATCCCGTCCAATCGATTTGAGAGAATAAATGGTCCAATGAGCATACCGTTTACCATGCCAGCCCCAACATTCACCGAAAATGTTTGTTGAAAATGTGCCCGACGGACAGCGTGCGGATTTTCTACTGAGTGTTGCGAAAGTTATTCACCCCATTACGCGTGAACGTAGATTCGTCTGTCACCAATATTCACTTGAAAAAGTCCGGATTATTGTCATGTTGATGCAACAACCACTCACAAAACCGCACTCTTGCTGGAAAATCGTCAGGTTGAAGGGCTTGTACACGTTGGACGTGAAACGGATACAGCCCCTCTTCACGCAGCGTTTGCCACACTTTAGTTTTTGATACTTGCACTTCTCTAGCCACGTCTCTAGTGCTTGTTGAGGGATTCTCGTCTACGCGATTACCTCTACATGCGTGACCGTAACCGTCGGTTGAAGGTTGCATACTGACCTGACACACTGACCCCGACCCAGTTCTGCCGTCGGGTTGAGACCTTGTACCAATCGGTGATGTCCCGGGTCGCGGCTACAGGACGGTATTAAGATATTTTTGATCTTGGTTCCCTTAAGACATTGGTGTATATGGTACTAAGAAAAATTGCTAATGTTTTCAAGATCTATACGTCGTGTAAAGGAAAACCCCAACTTTGCGGACACCCTGTATATGCACTGTTACGAAAGAAGTTGATTTCTCAAAAAAAAAAATGTAATAAAAGTCCTACAGAAATCGAGATAATAATAAAATAATATGTAATATGCGCCACGCTGTTGCGTGTGACACTTCTGGGACCTGCTGGGCTAACTGTCTTGTGCTTATTCCCGGATTTTCTTCCAAAATATCCAAAATTTCGTCTTCGGCGTCTGGGGCGCAAATCTCTACTAGCACGTACACGTAAAACAATTGAACTAAATTTTTCGTGATGTGGTACGTGCCTATTCGGAAATCGGTGTGCATACAGACGAGAAGTCGCTCGCCCTGCTTCTCCGTACGCTAGAACAATATCCACTAACTCCTCATTAGTGTAGACATGTGCCATTTTTATTGATAAATAATTAAAAACATAAACTCGCAAAATACTTTCTTTTTAACTTCACAAAAATTGACCTTTCTTCGTTTAGATCACCCACGATACAGATTGAAGCTTATTTACATGTCCTTTTCAGTATGAAAAAACAAAAAATTCCTGGTATTTTGTTTTCATCAGTTGTTTGGTACAACATTTGCTACAATAAATTATTAATGCCTGTTCTAATATCACGACGATGAACGCAAAATACAGATATTTATTTTTCAATTTATTATTGACACTCAGGTTTATTACTTAGTTTCTGTAGGACTTTTATTACATTTTTTTTGAGAAATCGACTTCTTTCGTAACAGTGCATATGTGGTTAAAATTTGTCGGATAAGTGGTGAATCACCCGTATAAGAATGTTACCGGATGTAATATCAAGATTACGCAGTTGAAAAAGGAAGTAATAAGATATCTTATAAATACTGCTAAAAATGAAAACATAGAACAAGAGCATGAACCACAGACAAAAAAGCGACAACACCGCTCTCTAAAATGAAAAGGTGGGGAGAATTGGCATAAAACAAAAAGATGTCGCAAGCATTCTTATAAAAAAATAACGAGCTTCATGGTAGGAAATATGCTACCAATCGTACACTCAAACTAAAAAAGGTTTTATGTTTAACGTGTTTCAATGAAATACACCAAGAAACTTAGCTCGATATTCGACCAGTTTTCATATTAGAATTATATTATACAGTGCTTTGAAAGTTATTTTCAGATTTAAATAAATACTTTGCTCATACTGAATCGTTTTATTTTCTAGTGTGAACACCAAAGTAAAAAAAAAATAAAAATTTTAAAACCATGCCTATAGATATCTTCTATGAGGCCGTGCTGGTCCCCTAAACAACATTATGACATTATAAAATCGGCCAGCGGCTCCACACCTAAGTGAAAGCCTCCTGATCCCATAGGATGAGCAAGGCTCGAGACAAGTAATTTAAGTTGGTCTCCCCCCAGCGTGGCAATCAACGTGTTAAGTGATGACACTGGCAACGTAGCGTTCGATCTGGCAGTTTGCAGGAGAGACAGGGGAACATGTGATCCGCCTATAGTACAAGTTTGAACCCACTCGAGTCGTTTGGTTGTCCGCAGCGATTTTTTTTTGTGAAACTGCTTTTTCTATTGTGTTCCATAATGAGTGACATCAATTTCAAGCAACGGTTTGCTATCAGGTTTTGCTTCAGACTTGGGCACAGTGCAACTGAAACTCTTGCTCAACAGACCTACGGACTTAGTGTTTTGTCAAGAGCCAAGGTTTCTGCGGTGGCTTAAGGCGTCGATAGAAGATGAACCGAACGAAGCGGAAGGTCTTCATCTACAAGAAACGGTGAAAGTATCGACAGAATCCAGGATCTTGAGCATTAAGATCGTCATTTGACAGTCAGAATGATCGGGGAAGAGTTAAATTTGAGATGAGAATAAGTGGGTGTTGCACCACGATAATGCTTCTTGTCTCACATAAATGTTAATAAACGACTACGGTCAGTAAAAACATTCATGTGGCTCCCCAGCCTCCTTATTAGATTGACTTGAGTCCTTGTGACTTTTTTCTTTTCCCGAAGTTAAAAAATTACCTCAAGGTATCTCATTTTGGAGCAGTCGAAAACATTCGAACGGCTGTAGCCGACCACCTGAAGTCTATTGCAGTATCGGAGCTCTAGCACTGCTAAGAGGAGTAAAACAGCCATCTCCAGTCTTGTGTGGATTCAGAAGAAAGTCATTTGAAGAGTGAAAATATTAAATTGTAATTATATTTAAATAAAAATTAAAAAACTCAGTTTCATCACTTATTTTGCAGAACTCCTACGACAAGAGTTCCATATTTTCATGTGGCTATTCAGCCTCCTTATTAGATTGACTTGAGTCCTTGTGACTTTTTTCTTCTCCCGAAATTGAAAACTCACCTCTAGGTAACTCATTTTGGAGCAGTCGAAAACATTCGAACGGCTGTAACCGACCAGCTGTCTATTGCAGTATCGGAGCTCTAGCACTGCTAAGAGGAGTAAAACAACCATCTCCAGTCTTGTGTGGATTCAGAAGAAAGTCATTTGAAGAGTCAAAATATGAAATTGTAATTATATTTAAATAAAAATTAAAAAAACTCAGTTTCATCACTTATTTTGCAGAACTCCTACAGCAAGAGTTCCATATTTTCCTATGGCACATATCGAATGCCACAATTTTTTGCGAGATCGGAGAACCCTCGCTAGGTTCGACATCAAGATTCAATGTTGATCATACTATTAGCAAAAAGGGCCAAACGTGACCTAGTGGCCATGCTCAGGAGCTTTAAGCGTGAATTGATCATATCATTTCTTTACAGAAACAAAAAACCGCAGCGTACTACAAAACCCGCCACAGTGAGATCGACTCCAAACTCCTCAGCATGATCCCCGACTGCCCTAGGTCAGCAAAGGAGTCCTTCGCAGCTAGCTTCGATTGGTCAATGTTGGCACCAGGTGCATCAGCTGTCTTCAATGGCCTGCAGAACGGACTCAAGAAGAACGAGAAGCTTAGTAATGCCATTGAGAACCATCTGAATCACATGAAAGAGAATGGAGAGGATAATAATAACGATAAAAGCGAAAGTAATAGGGAGTCACCGAGTAAGTCGAGGTCGGAAAGTCCAAAGTCGCCTGTGAAGTCGAATCAGGAAAGTCCAAGGTCAAAGCCTGCTTCTAGGGCGGCGTCTAGAGCCGCGTCCAAGACACCAACAAGGTGAGTTCAAATTTACCTCGGTTTGCAAACTTCCAATGGCACTGTTTATAGAAAATTATTCATTTTCGGATTAACTTTGACTTGCTACATTAGTTGAATAAAATTATATCAACGTATCGTTAGCCAGATTTTTTCAACATAAATGAGAGAAAATAACAGTGTGAACTACGGCATTATCGTACCTTACCTGTTGCTTGCTACGATCCCGGTTCATCTCCGCTTTGGAGAACGATTTGCTACCAAACCAATTCAAACAATAAGTGATAAAAATGATGTCAAGTAGGTTAACTCTGCACTTCCGACACAATGCCGTCATAAGTTATGTTCACCACAAGTCAGGCCTCTAAGAGAGCTTTTCGCCTAAATGTATAATAGTGAAATTAAATGGAAACGTGGAAAATCGGACATAAATAGTGATATCAAAAATCTGCTCAGGAAGTTGGATAGGAGGAGATATGACACGTCTTTCCACAAGGATCATTATTCACCAGTTCCACAGGATTATTGCGTAAAAAACCTATACAGGATGTTTCAGTTTATTGTTGCATAACTTTAAGATTCGATAGAACTTTTAAAATTAATTCATAAAGTCTATATAAACATGGGTCGAAAGATGCGTTGCTTCCGAAATACAGGGTGTTTAAATTTACTTTCTAAAATAGTTTTTTTAAATATTTCGAACAATATTTGATATATACAGTGAAAATTGGTATACAAGGGTTTTTTGGTACGACAAAACGAAACATGGGCATAGTTTTACTGTAGCCGCTAGAGGGCGCTCTCTACTGTACCTGTAGTGTATTAAAATGACCGAAAATTTTTTCTTAGTGCCATTTTTTGCTTTTTGAACAAAAAACTGATTCTTCGCACTTTTCAACATAAAAAAGCTCTCTTGTGAATTTTCGTTATAGTTAGCCGTTTTTGAGATATTTCGATTTTTAAGGTTCGATGCATTTTTAATTACTTATGATAAAATAACGTTAAAAAGCCAGTATCTCGATAATTTTTAGAAGTAGGCTGTGTCTGCAAATATTTTTGAAATTGAAAGCAGAATAAGGTTAAACGTCAATTAGTTGACAGTTAGTTTTGTTGTCTGTTGAAACCTGAAACGTTTTTTTGCAATTGTGAATGCACGAAATTTAGTTTCTTTTACCTGTTTTTTTTGTAAGTTTTATAAAAATGCCATTTTTATTCTCCAATCAAGAGTTAGCGGATATTCATTTTGTGTATGGCTTTGTAAATGGAAACGCAGCAGAAGCTGCCAGAGAATACACACGAAGATTTCCAAACAGACGACATCCAACTCGCTCAGTATTTGTAAGAGTGCATCGCCAAATAATTGAAAATGGTTTTGAAAATCTCCAAAAGGATCAAAACATAAATGTTCGTCAGCGAAGATTTACCGGTATGATTTTGCGTGAGTTTGATAGAGATCCGACCACAAATTAATGTTAGGAGAGTTTCTGCTGCCTTGGGAATTTCAGCAAGCCATGTTCACCGTGTTCTTAGAAATGACCATAGACGTCCTTACCATTTGCAACCTGTGCAAGGACTACAGCCAGGGGACGGAGAACGAAGAATCTCATTTTGTCAGTGGATTCTTGATAGAACTGATAATAATAGGGAGTTTTTAAGTAACGTTTTATGGACCGATGAGTCATGCTTCACTAGACGTGGAGTGGTAAATTTTCACAATCAACATATTTGATCGCATGAAAATTCGCATGCAGTTCGGGAAAGAAATTTTCAGCATGAATTTAGTGTGAACGTGTGGATTGGTATCTACCGTAATCGACTATTTGGACCCTACCTTTTGCCTGCAAGGTTAAATGCTGCGACCTTCTTGGAATTTTTAAAGGCTGAACAGGCAAATATGTGGGATGATGTTATGTTAGATTTAAGAAGATTGGCCTGGTTCCAGCTTGATGGTTGTCCAGATCATTATTCGAGAATAGTTAGAAACTGGCTGGACGAAAATTATCTAGAAAGATGGATCAGCCGTGGAGGACCAGTCGCCTGGTCTCCACGATCCCCTGACCTAAATCCATTAGATTTCTTTGTGTGGGGATTTCTTAAAGAAAAAGTGTACCAGAGTCCCGTAACCACAAGAGATATGCTAATTGACAGAATCAGGAATGCATGTGATGAAATAAGGCCTTATTTGAATAATGCTATACCACGTTCGATCATTCGTAGATGTGAATTGTGTATTGAACAATTGGGTTTACATTTCGAGCAACTAATTTAGATTTTGTATGATTGTCCTAACTATACAATAGCATTTTAGTTGTAAATAATCAATTTAATTTCTTAAAAATAATATTGGAAAATTAAACAAATTAATATTCTGTTTTTTTGGGTTTATTTGGAGTTAGGAATTATTGCAGTGTCTAATCTAAACGATCATCTTAATTACTTGTAATGCCCAAATCGAAAATGTAAAAAAATATTATTTTCCCATAAATAATTAAAAATGCATCGAACATTAAAAATCGAAATATCTCGAAAACGGCTAACTATAACGAAAACTCACAGGAGAGCTTTTTTATGTTGAAAAATGCGAAGAATCAGTTTATTTGTTCAAAAAGCAAAACATTGTACTAAGAAAAAAATTTCGGTCATTTTAATACACTACAGGTACAGTAGAGAGCGCCCTCTAGCGGCTACAGTAGAACTATGCCCATGGTTCGTTTTGTCGTACCAAAAAAACCCTTGTATACCAATTTTCACTGTTATACATTAAATATTGTTCGAAATATTTAAAAAGAACTATTTTAGAAAGTAAATTTAAACACCCTGTATTTAGGAAGCAACGCATTTTTCGACCCATGTTTATATAGACTTTATGCATTAATTTTAAAAGTTCTATCGAATCTTAAAGTTATGCAACAATAAACTGAAACACCCTGTATAATGTAAGAAACCCAATAAAATGTCAACTCGTTGACTATCTAGCTGGTAGTATGCAAATAGTTCATTCCGCTCCTACTACAAGTGAGCATGAAGTGAACGACAGCTAGTTCCTAGTTGACGTCTAGTAGGAAAACCTGCCGATCACAGTTTGCATTGTAAATGGCACTCAGCCACAATTTGTCTACAAACAACTGACGTAATTCGCACCTTTAGTGTTAGCATTATTTTCTTATTTGCCGATATCCTGATTATTACTCTGAATGCACGTTTCTACCAGCTGCCTGCTCAAGGCTGACTGCAGGAACTGCGGCGTGTAGGCAAGTGATCTGTGGAACTGACTTAATTATTATAGCCTAGTCAAGGTATATTAATTTTTCATTACGCCCATTACGTCTTCGTTGTTGCGCTTCAGCTTAATCCATAATGCATTTCATCATCATTAAGAGCTGCATAATAGAATGACCACGCTATAAGTATGCCGGTACGGTAAAGAGATAGAAATGATGTAAATAGATTAATTAGCTCTGTCTTGCTCTATACAGAACCAACTAAGTAGTTTCAAACAGTTATAGGAAAGGCATCTGAATCTATAGGAAATATATCTTAATTTTGAAGTGACCAGCTTATACCATTTTACATTTATTAAGTTTTGAAAATAACTACACCAAAATGGCGACCATTAGCTGCAACACACAATTGGAGTCTACTCCTGAAGCTCTGAACAGTTCGTTTACACATATCGTGGCGAATAGCGTTTACTTCTACAACAATCCGCTCTAACAGATTTCCCCAGAAAAGGAAGTAACAGTTGCTCAATGCTAATCCCTCTTTCTCAGCGAGCTCGTTCAATTTAGGTTGGGATTGGATATCTCTGTGGTATGGAACTACAGCTCACAGAGCTCCACATTTAATGGGTGGGTGTTTTGGAAGAAATGTTTCCATAATTAGCATCACGTTTGCTAGAGGGTGGTCCCAGAAGTACCCGGCCTGACCTAGAGATGGCTAAAGTTGATTGAAAAATATCATTGTATTAGAAAGTATGTAACCTATAAAGCATATGTGTCGAGTTTGAAGACGCCACGTTGTTTAGTATTTGTTTGGCAGCCATCAATACTGAACGTTTTCAGTGGATTTGTGAAAATAGAGAAAATTGGTCATCGTTATGTGCTACAATACTTTTATTTCAAAGGCCTCATCCCAGCCAATATAAAAGCTGAACTGGATTCTACTCTGGGTGAGTCTGCGTCTTCGGATACAACAGTAAAATATTGGGTAGCAGAGTTTAAACGAGGCCGTATAAGCTGCCAAGGCGAGCATCGAAGTGGTCGACCAAATGAGGTGACGACTCCGGAAATGGTGAAAAAAATTCACAAAGCGGTACTGAATGATCGTCGACTGAAAGTGCGCAAGCTAGCACACATAGCAGGAATTTCAAAAAGTGCGGTTCATCGCATATTGTCTGAAAATTTGGACATGAGAAAGCTGTGTGCAAGATGGGTTCCGCGATTGCTCACAATCGAGCAAAAACAGTGTCGTGAAGATGTTTCAATTGAGTGTTTAGCGAAGTTTCACAGCAACAAAGCAGAACTTTTGCGTCGTTTCATAACCATGGATGAAACATGGGTCCATCACTTCACACCCGAGACAAAAGAACAATCAAAACAATGGACTCAAGAGGAACAACCGGCTCCAAAGAAAGCGAAGACCGTTTCATCTGCAGGCAAGGTTATGGCGTCGGTTTTTTTGGGATGCGCGTGGGATAATTTTCATTGACTATCTTGAAAAACGTAAAACTATCAACGGCAAGTATTATGCAAACTTATTGCAACGTTTGAGCGATGAAATCAATCAAAAATGGCCGTATTTGGTTAAGAAGAAAGTGTTGTTTTATCAAGCAATGTACCAGCTCACAAATCCGTTATTGCAATGGCCAAAATTAACGAATTAAAGTTTGAATTGTTACCTCATGCACCCTATTCACCAGATTTAGCCCCCTCGGATTATTTTCTGTTTCCAAACTTGAAAAAATGGCTCTGTGGTCAAAGATTTTCCAACGATGCAGAAGTGATGTCGGCAGTTAATGGCTATTTTGAGGAGCAAGACAGTTATTATAAAAAGGGTATCTAACTTATTGAGCATCGCTGGGAAAGGTGTATAGAGCTCAAAGGATTATGTTGTTAAATAAATACATTTTTTCACAAAATTTTGATGTTTTCTTCATTGGGGCGGGTACTTCTAGGAGCACCTAATATAGCGGATAACTTGTTTACCTACCGATATAGGGGTCCCGACCCGGGTTCGAAAACACGCTACAGTCAAGTTTTTTTATTATACCAATATTTAAAATTGGCGTGTCAAGAATTACGTCACAGATAACGTGGTACTACAGTTTAAACTCGTCCACAAGAATTACCAGGCTTTTTCAGGTACATAGGTAAAGGTCAATGACCTAATTCGGTTGCAAGTACACCTTCAGGACATTGAGAAGATCACAAATTCTTCAGCACAGGTGTCTTCTGATACAGGCAACAGGTAACCGGGTGCTGCTTCTTTCCCACTCTTCATACATCAAAGGATGCCGTCCACATATCAAAAGATGCTGCGTTTACCCACGGTCCGCAAATTTTCCCCATTCTGAAGTAACCCAACTACTCTCTCGTTTAAAGGTGAAGTAGAGTGGCCTGTGCGGTCAGCAGTTGTGAGCTTCTGCGACTTCTTTCTCTGGGAATATCTAAATGAAAAGGTGCTTAGGTATCCTTCTCACATCGTATGAGAGCTAAGGGGGAAAATTATTGAAGTGAATCTATTCCCCACAATATGTGCAGTGATGGGCGCATTAAACCAATACACCATACGTGTATACAACTGTGAATGTATATGAATTGAGGACATTTCTAAAATAACATGAAATACATTCTGGAAACAAAGTTTACCCATTTGACTGATTTCATTCATCGTCGTTAGCATCATCAATATTCAAATTCGCAAGGTCGTTAGGGGTGATTCGTAAGGAGTAATACACATGCTTTCTTACTACTTCTTCTTATTGTAATCTCTGATTTCTATTGGGCAAGTAGACTTTGGTCAAACATAGCGCCGATAGTAGCATAATACAGTATGACAAAACTTTCAAAGTACATGCATCAGAATTAAGCAACCTGTTTTTATAGATACAGCACTCGTCGGAATGTTTTCTTTCATCTTTGAGCAAAATGAACCCTTGTTGATGAATTAGGAAATCGATGGATTTTCTTAGTTTTCTAAGCGTGCTTAATCATATTGATTTTATAGAAGCCGGTTCACTAATGTTTTGACGTTTGCGGGTAAACCTTACTTCATTCATGTTATTCTACACATTGTCTATACGTTGTATACGTATTATTTACATTGTATACTTATTGCATAACTTTTAACGCATTGTATATGCTTTCTAAATCAAAACGTAGACAAAAGTAAACAAGCATCCCGGGTATGTGTGAACATGCTCTTCAGAACTTCATGAGTCGTTCCCATCAGTGTGTAGCTGCTAGCGGCTGTCATCGTAGAGACATTATTTTCAAACCTTGATACAGGTATGATGCTATGAACTTTTTCCGAAATTATTTTTTTTTCTAGATCCAGATGCCTTTTTATAACCCTATGAAACTGCTTTCTTGGATCTGCCGCACCCTGTATATTCTACCTGACTCAAAATTTTTTCAGGTCCGGCAATCAGTCTCCAAATGCAGCAACCCCACCTGCAAAGTCACCCTCCCCTCCACCCTCTCCATCAAAATCTCCCCACAAATCACGACCCTCCAGCAAAGCCGAAAACTCTCCAAAATCCCCAAGCGATACCCCCAAATCCCCAGATGGTTCCCCTGGCCGTATTTCACCTCCAACAAAGTCCCAACCTGGATCACCGGCTAAGTCGAGGCCAGAGAGTAAACAGGAACTGAAGTCCGAAGCTAGAAGCCAGAATGGGAGTCCATCAAACGGAAAAAGTAGTCCTGAAAGACAAAATGGAAGTGTAAATAATGAAAAAAGTGGTCAAGGAAGTCAAAATGGCAGTCCAAATGGGAAGAGCAGGTCAGGAAGTAAAGGGAGTAATCCTGGGAGGCCTGGAAGCAAGGCCGAGGTGAACGGGGGGAGTCCAGGGCCTATTGTGGAAGAAGAGAAGGTTATAGAAGGTTAGATTAGTTTAAGATACACAGTTGAAGGACAATTCTTGAAATTCAATTGAAAGTGGGTGTAGTTCTGTTTTTTTATACTCCAACTACCACGAAGGCCTAAGGCCTAAACACCCATTGGGTACGTGGGGCTATGGGAGATACAGGGGAAAGGGGGGACGCCACACGGACTCTGGCGAGGGACCACGTGTGCATGCAACATGCACACATTCTGGCTCCGCCTACGAGATCCACCGGGTGGTACCTCCGCGTTCGACAGTCAGAGACCGTCTTACACCCACGGACAATCACAACATCCATAGCCAAGAGAAATATTTCTTCCTGGGATGGGATTCGAACCCGCACAGCGCACGGTGACTGATCAGGAGACCGAAGAGTTTCCTACTGCGGCCACCGCTGCTGTTACTTCATGCTTATAAAAAAATGATGCTAAGAACAATGTTTGAAAAACCAAAATTATATCCCACTGATGTCTACAAAGATATACACGTATATGATATGAGACAAATTTATCTCTTTGCAATACCAGAAATTCGTCAGTTTTGAAGATACTGACTCACAGGTTGTCCTCTGCGGAGAAAAGCATTAAGCACATGGGAAAAAGGGTCTTCAATAGACTACCACAGAGTCTAAGACTATTTAAAAACAATCATAAGTCCACTACTCCGAAAAGCATACTATTCCCTAACTGAATATCTTAACGATGACAATATACAGGGTGACCCAACAAAAAGGTCGCACCTCCATTTGTGACTCTCCTGTCCCCATAGAAATCAAAATCTAGCAGGAGAGTCACAAAGAAGGGAGCGGCCATTTTGGTGGGCCACCCTGTATACAGAGAAAATGTAAAGGACCCAATATGGAGCCTTGAGGAACACCAAACTTTATAGCAGTTGACTCTGACATTTTCGAAGCTGATAGGACCTTTTGATTTGTATTTGACAAATAGCGTATCAAAATGACTGCAGCGTCAGTAAAACCATATTAAGACACCTTAATCCATCTTCAGTGATATTGGCTAGAGCCGTTGTTGTACTATGGTTTACTCTGAATCCTGACTGCATTGATGGAACTATTTCATTACTGAAAATATACTTAGATATTTGTATATAGAATTCCCGTTCTAAAAGCTTCGAAAATGCGGGAAGTAAGCTGACTGGTCTAAGTTGCGTTACAGATGTGAGAATCGCTACTTTATACTATTTCTTCTTCACATTTCAACCGCTAGCTTTTTAAATCGATGTATTTAGCTATTTTTTATAATTATATGTTTTTTAAATTATGTGTTTGCTTTTTATAAGCATGTGGTCTGTGTGTATCCATGGTGTGATTAATTTTTATTGAATTCTAAGAACGAAAGTTTCAGTGATGTAATTTTTATTTTTTTCTTCACTGATATGTTTTGCATGTTTAAGTTTTCTGACATATTCAATGTAATTTTTCAATGATCCATTTAATAAACAATATCTGTCTACAACTCAGCGAGTATAGCTTTATTTAGGACCAAAATTATACGCAAATTTACCTGACAATATAAAAATAAAAAATGTATATTTTCTTTAGCAAAGCCAGGCATATACAAATTAATAGCAAATGTAAGCATCAAATGATTCGTTGATCAGTTGTATCATAACTTGTGTTTTAATTCTATGCAAAATTGCAACAATAATGGTCCATTAATGGCAGTGCCTCCTAAGGGTCCTTCTTTCTCATTTGTTTATTCATTTTCCATATTGTGTCTAAGGAGTAAATAAATATTATTATTATTATTCTTAATAATAGTAGTATTATTTATTTACTATTATTTATTATTATTACTATTATTATTATTCTCGAGTGTTTATCTGATAACTTTTGATGTTTGTCAAATAACTCTGCACCCCACTTTTTTATATCCTTGAATGTTGTGTCTTATATTATTTCCTCACAAGATAACAATATGGTACCCTTGAGGTGTCGAAGTATTATTCCTCGTATTTCGGTTCCATGAACCATACAGATTCAGCATTCGAATTTCAAGATTGCATATAAGTCAACCGGTATGTTGCGACAACAGTTCCGGGTGAGTTTCGCGGACATTTGGGACATTTTCGGGACGAGCGAGGATGCTATGTCTGGTACATCCAAAACAACAGATTGCCTCAGGCACTCTTGTCGCTTTGTGCGAGGTTGGAGTTATCTTTAGAGCTGGAATGCCTATATCCTAGGTAGCACTAGGCAAAACGAAGGATTCCATTACCAGCCACGTTGGTTTATAATTGATTCATTCCGATCGATCAAATTATTTAAAGTGAATGCCAACCTTCAGAAAAGACAGAGGGTGTTTGAAAAGTTCCGAAACCTCACGATAAATTGTAAATTAACAAGGATATCAAAAAACTACTCCTCGCGATTGATAAAAGTTTTCTCCAGTTATTCAATGGTGACCTTGGATTTGCCCTTGACAATGAAATTCAAGGTCATTTGAAGGTAAAGTCGATTTTTAAATGGAATCCCCCATTCTTGACCCCGTAAATGGAAAGACTGGAATATTTTACGTTTAAATATGGTCTTCGCCATTTTTAAATATTTAACTTCAGCAGGTAATGGTCCAGGTCAAACCCAGATACGACGAAATAACTTGAAAACCAGTATAGGTCGTATAGGGGAACTACTTCTATTTTCATGATTTTTTCCAGATGACCTTGGATTTGACCGTCACCATAATGACCTTTAAAGTCTCGTAAAGGTCAAGTCAATTTTTGTAGCAAGGGAACAATCCTAAAAGAATAGTGAATGCTGTTTATACGGGGATGACACAGTTGACTAAATTATTGAGAAATTAAGGTAAACGTGTGTTTGTCATTGATATTCAAGTCCAAGGTCAAGTTCCAAAATGATCAAGGACATATTCGAACATAAAATTTTCACGCTCCTCCATTCTCGCGGACAAAAGTATAGGGTCCCATTAAAAAAGGGTCGACTTTTATTGTCAATGCCAGATCCAAGGTCACCATTGGAAATCCGGGAAAAAATCATGGCAATAATGTTCCGGCAGTTTCCCTATACGACTACTGGCTTTTAAGTTATATCACTGTACCTGGGTTTGACTACGACCATGAACGTACAACTTTTCGCTCTTTTCATTAACAGGGTCAATATGGAAGGTTCCATTTAAACAAATAGATTTGACCCCCAAATGACTTTGAAGGTCATGGTAAAAGTTAAATTCAATACAATCAAAATTAGAATACCCTGTATATTTACGATGGGATTAGAACTTTTAAACACGCGTGATTTTGAGCATTTACCTTTTGTCCAGGCATTTCATGATAGGGTCTTTACTGGGGATTCATCTTGCATCTTCCTTGATATATCGCGAGTAAGATCATTAAATTATTTTGCCTAACTAACCCATGGAACATCTGTTTTCAAATTCTATATCACCCTGTATATTCGGTACTCTGTATACAATTTGTTGAAAGGTATAGTAAACGGAGAGGATGAGGTAGAGAACATGAACAATGAAGGGCACAACGATAAAAGGGACGGCGGAGGCTCCCCTACTGAGACTGACGTGAAGACCCTTGTCGATGCTGGAAATATGGAGCAACTGGCAGCATTGGTGCTGAAGGGAGAAGGAAAGAAACTTGTAGGGCAGACCAGCGATAATCCTGAATTGCAGTCCTTTTTGGATAATGTTCCCGTTTATATGGTAAGTAGAGGCTTTCCTCTGTCTTTTCTTTCTTCATCCCTGCTTTGACTGCGATTTTCTTTGGCATCCGGGAAGATCTAATGACCTCTAAAACTAACTAAGAGCATCTAGATAGCCAGAGAAATTGACTGAGATTTCATCATTTAAAAGCTCAAAAAATAATAAACATGGGAAAATACATAATATGATTTATGTCTCTAGAAACTGGAGAAGTTTGAAGATTTACAGATTTTGAATGTCAAAAACAACTAACGCGAACTGGCAGTAAAGTTTTATGAAGGTCGCTAACGGATAAGTACATATGTAGAGGAATATGCCTGAACATATCTGTACAGCCTCGATTTAAGATATACTTTCGAGAATCTCCGAAAAATTCAGTATTTACTTTCAGGGTAAGATTCGTCGGATCCACGACGCGGCAAGAAACGGAAGTTTAAGAGACCTTCAAGCTGCCTTGGACAGGCGCAAGTTTGCAATTGCCAAAGACAGCATTTCACCCAAAGGTATAATATCTATATAATGACTTCTATGTGAACTGAAAATTAATACAACTTCATGTCATTTTGAAATCTATGAACTTATTTTTTTGGACTTCAAAAGGGCGTTTGAGATTACTGAGAGGGATAAATTACTTACAAAATTGCATCACTACGGATTTAAAGGATCTGTATTCAAATTTCTACAAAATTATTTAATTGACAGAAGTCAAAAAACCAAAATTGGATCTACATTATCAAGATCAAAAAATATTTCAGTTGGTATACCAAAAGGTAGTAAACTAGGTCCACTACTATTTATTTAATACATTAATGACATTTGTAATATTTTAGATTATTGTAAACTTCAGATATTTGCAGATGATACATTAATATACATATCAGATGAAAGTATAGACACTGCTTTAAAAATCGTAAATTAGTTAAATGTAAATAAACTAAAATTGAATACTTCTAAAACAAAATGTATGCTAATAGGGAAATACCTAAATGAAAATACTATCACAGTTAGGATAAATGGAGAAATAATTGAAAATGTTGGATCAATTAAATATTTAGGTATATACATATTGATAGTAAACTAAAGTTTTAGTATCACTACGAATGCATTATTCCAAAAATTGCCAAAAAAACAAATTGCTTTTCATAGTCTTGGTACCTATTCCAAGAAAATAGTTTATAATACAATTATTCTACCGCATTTACTATATTGTTCAAATATCTTGTTCACTGCCAATGAAGCTGTATTCTCAAAATTACGAGTCTTGAAAATAAAGCTATGAGAATAATATTAAATAAAAATAAGTACACCAAACAAAATAAAATCTATGTTACAAGAATTACAGTGGTTGAATATAATAAATTTCATATCATATTTGGTTCTTATTTTTATATTTAAGGTATAGAATCATCTATTGCCAGAACATTTAGAACACTACATAAAATTGAATAATCATTACCACAATTATTATGCAAGAAGAAATATAGGTTTTCATTTACAAAATTGCAATGATAATATAACTAGCAAATCAATTCTTCAGAAAGGATTACTTGAATTTAATAAACTAAATAATGATATAAAGTCTATTTGTAATTTAAAGATATTTAAAAGAAAATTAAAGGAATATTTCATGGACAATGGAAATTCTTAGAGATGTAAATTTAGTTCTTTTTCTGAATGTCTGTATGTTATATAATTGTTTAGTTTTTTAGAAGAATGTAATTGTAGCAATCATGCTAAATAAATCTTAAACAAACAAACAAACAAGCAAAGATTTTCTTGCGACTTTATTCTTTACTATTGGCTACCTATTCTGTGACGCCTTATATAATCCATTTCACAGATGTAGCAATTTTTACTAAAGCAATGTGTAAATTTATTATCAAGACAAAAAAATATATTCCAGGGGCCTCTCCTCTCCACGTTGCTGTGATATTTGGCAATACCAGTATTGTCAGGTACTTAGCCGGTAGGTTCCCTGAAACTGTCCAGGTGACCGATGATGATGGTAGAACCCCTTTGCACTACGCCGCTGTTCTCAAGGATAACGGGCACTACTACAATCTGCTTGTACATTTGGGAGCTGATATGAGACTCGAAGATAAGGTAAATGTCACAGTTTTACTTATTTTTATTTTTTATTTTATTTTATTCATTACAACACCCTACAGTAAATACCAATTACAGGGTGAGGAAATACAGAACATACTATAACACAGATATAAAATACTAGTAATAGACTACAAAGTGTAAAAGATACATGCAGGTTACTTAATGGTATTTTTTATGTGTGGATGCACCCTGATGTGCTACGCATTCTCCAACGCGCCTAGGCATGCTTCTGATCAGGTGGTCAATGTCCTCCTGTGGTATCTCATTCCAGGCAACCACCAACTCCTCTCGAAGTGCTTCTAGAGTCCGAGGAGGACGTTGCAAATTGAGCAATCTCCTACCCATCATATCCCACACGTGCTCAATTGGGGATAAGTCGGAAGATCTTGGTGGCCATGGTAACAATGTGACATCATTATGTTGAAAGAAGTCTATTGTGACTCTTGCAACAGGTGGTCGGGCATTATCTTGTTGGAAAGTTGGATCTGCCAGGGTGTCAAGATAGGGTAAAAGATGGGGTTCTAGAACTTCGTGGATATAACGCTGCGCGTTCATGTTACCTCTGATGAAGATTAAAGGTGACCTGGAACCATAAGCTATAGCACCCCAAACCATAACTCCAACAGTGTGATGAACATGTCTTTCAACAAAAAACTGTGGATTCCTCCTTTCACCACGTCGCCTTCTAACCCTGGCACGACCATCGTGCATGCCTAAACAAAATCGAGACTCATCACTAAAGACAATACTGTTCCATTCCTGATCCCAGAGTGACCGTTGTCTGCACCACTCAAGGCGATTACGTCGGTGTTCTCGAGTTAAAGGGAGGACCCAGTGTGGCCGGTATGAAAACAAGCCAAAACTTCTCATTCGTCGGTAAACACTTCGCATGCCAATAGGTCTTCCGTGTTCTGCAAACCATTCATTTGCAATGGACCTGGTAGTGGAGAAACGGTCCCTTAAGGCCAATAATCTTAGGCGGCGATCTTCACGGTCTGTTGTTCTACGGCGGTGTCCAGTGCCCCTTGCTCTTTGCGTACGGCCTTCTCGAAGCCATGCCTGACAACACCTAACTACAGTGTCTACACTTCTTTGCACTCTAACTGCAATTGCCCGAAAAGGAAGTCCAGCTTCCCGAAGTCCCACTATATGGCCTCTATCAAACTCACTAAGTTGACGAAATCGTACAGGTCTCCGTACTCTAGGCATCGTAACCGATCGTAAAGGATGTCAAGAACCAAAATCCGCCAACGTTGATTCTTTACTGCGGCTGAAATATTCATTTTTAGAGTGTTAGTGAATTAAAAAAAAAAGCAGTATAAAAACCGGAATGTCCAACTGATAAGGCTGAAAATGTTTTCACTTGTTATTTACAGTAAGATAAATACATTCACCAACTTTTATTGAAATAAAACCATTTAAACTGGGTGTTCGGATGTATATGTCACTTAGTATATATCAATCCTGTTACTTGCAGAATTCCTACACATCACATGTAAAGGGGAATAGTGTAAATAATTTGTCCGTGCCGCAGGTAGATAAAACGTAACGTTTTGTCGGGATGTCAGCCTAGGTACGTTAAATGATAACTGACCCAAGAAAGCTAAATCATCACTAGCATTATTGATCAATTTAAACAGAAAAATCACTGACTGGCAAGTGCGCCTTGCTTCAAGACTGCTGGTTAGATGTTATTCAAGTAAGGAATCAAGAGGTAGTGGGTATACCTATGGGCGGGTAAACGCCATCCACTTTCAGTGACAAATATTTTAAGAAACGTCTTTGAAAACATTCAAGCCTACTTATATGAATAATATGATGCGGATTCCAAATTAGCAATGCATACTCAAGCTTCGACCTAACATATGCATAATACAGCAACTTCAAGGTGGTACTCTGAGTGAAGTCACGGCAGTTTCTTACAATAAAGCCGTACATGCGGTTTGCCTCGGAAATTTTGCTGCGTTATAGATTTATTTTGTATTGAAATGAGAATAGGTTGATATGCTGTAATTGCAACATGTGTTATTTTTATGCTGCAAATTTGATTAGGGAGTGATAAAGTTAGTGTTTTCTACTATATATTATCAAAATATTCATTGTTAATATTTTAAACCTATAACGCCCTGCTACATTTTTATTATTTGTGTTTGATAAGAATAAACTAAGATTTCAATAGTTGGGCCAACTGAAGTGGGAAGGGGCTCGTATGTGTGTGTATATGTGTGTATATATATATATATAAAGCAATATTGATATCAATAGTGTGGTTAGATCAGTTTAACACAGAATGTGTTGTTCCTTTCTTTGTACGCCCTGTATAGTTTTTAAAAGATAAAAGTATAATCTGTTTTACTGCGAATGCCTGGGTTGCTCTATGTTATTCATCATACGTATACTTTTTCTGTCTACCTCATTGATTTTAACATATTATTCGCTTATTTGGGTGCTCCCCTCCAGTGGTTGAGTAGAGTAGCTGTCAGCTAGACTTGGCCAGTGGTATTATGTATATTTTTTTATTATACTGAATTTTTTTGACAATAAAGGACGGTTTATTATTATGATCATCAGCTGCGGTGTCCAGGCATTTAGGCTTCTGCACACGGTTGTTTCGGGATAAAAAATCTTAGGATTAATTACGAGAATAGTTAAAAAGTTTTTGGAAGGTTGATGTCACATTCAAGGATACACAGAATTACTGTGATGCTACTTGGTAACATGACTGTGACGATGAAAATTGTATGTGAACGCCCAAATACAGTATAGGGCTGGACATCTTCCAGGAGAATACGCTAATCTATGGTGGTATAAAATAAACTGTATACAACAGAAATTATACATATCTGAACGCCAAGCATTGTTTAAAAACGGTTCAGGACATCAAAAAACAATTTTTCGAGGACCTCAAATATGACATAGACCTCAGAGATCATTTTAAGGTCAGGTTTGTAAATTCAAACAGCAACCACCATTTTGCTGCTGTTTTCTGAGCGTTCGACTACTTTTCAGACTTCCAGTAGGTCAAACTGACTTATGGCCACTTAACCTCATACATGAAAATGCAGTCTGATGTATAATCTGGTACCCTACACAGATCAGCTATCAAAAATGGTGGCTGTCTTATGAATTTTTAAACTTGGTCTCCGAATGATCTTTATGCGGGTCATATTTGAGGTAACCAACAAATTGCTTTTATGATATCCTGAAACTTTTGTTTTTGCAATAAACGCGGTGTCATTGAGCATTCGGATATGAAAGAGCATGCCTTGACACTTTCCCACTAATATAGGAAATACATTTCAGTTTGGTCACACTCCTGAATACTACAGGCGCAACCAAGAGGAATTCAACCACAGAGGTCTCCTTAAAGAATTCGGAGCCGAGGATCTAGCAGATGAAATACTAGCAGATAAGGGTAAGTTCACCCTTCAATATTGACGTTGTTTTTTAGAAAGCTTTGTGTGTATTAGTTATGGTCATAGGTTTGGCCTATTTAGAAACGGAATTAGATCAAGAGTGAAGATGCTGGTAATGGTGAGGTATGTTGTGTGTAAAACTGATTTAACTTATAAGTTTCAGGTGTTTAATAGATAAAGCTATGTATGTAAAAATCGTTGAAATTGTAAATTTATAGCAGCTTTTAGGATCAGCTCCAGGTCTGTTTCAGTATGAGAATCATTATTCCAGTAATATTTGGAAAAAGCGTTCAAAAGTCCATTGAAAAAAAATTATGCGTAGAAATAGAAGATCTAGGAGGACCAAATTTCTGGCAAATAACCTGGTTTCACATCACTATGTGTATAATAGATACAATAATAAGTATACTTTTCATGCAATATCGAGTGAGAATTCGCCGTAAAAATGCTATAAAATATTTATCGAATGCGAGTATTTTCACATGCATAGCGGGTTTGAAAATATTCTCAGATTGTACTCGCAACTAAAATTACAGGTTTATGGGTATTTTAGAATTTCAAAACGCAAACCTACACATGTGTGAAAGTAATAATTCAAATAACGTGCGTTTTCCCCTATCCCTATACGAATCGATATACATATCCGTATAGGTAATTGCATAGACGTCCTGTTAAAAAGGGCTCTGAAACCTTGAAATACTGTTTATATTCTATTTGAAACCACATATGCATGAAATACTATTTATATTCTGTTTCAAGCATATTATCAGCAGGAAAACCACAAGTTAAGTTTCAAATGGTACATTTATCATTATTTCGATACAGTACTGGCAAGGGGAAACCAGTTAGGCGCCACAATACGGACAGCGTTTGAACTAGTAGAAAGTAAGTGAATTCGCAGATTTATTTTTTATTTATTTACCAAATTTACGGGTGACCCCATTTTCACGAAATAAAATCACGAAATGGGAACAACATCTACAACATGCAAGCTCACAATCACTAATTTTTAAAGAGTGTACAGTAAAAAATGTCAATATTAGACTGAGCTAAATTGATAACACGAATGATCTATCGAGTGGACAGTGCTGACCATAGGTTGTGGGATGGAACTTAATCGCAAGCAGACTATTATTACGCAATGTTCTACGGGGTACATTAAGAATGATTAATGTCAACAAAGTTTCGCAATCGGTGATCCCCAATAAAATCTTGTAAGCGAAACAACCGTCAAAGGCCAAGGTCTATGCTCCAATGTAGGTAAACTCAAATGTTCTAACATGTCAGCTCTGTGATATTCCGTCATGTTTAAGTTCCTCTTTAATGCTGCAAGACGTACAAATTTATACTGGACACACTCTAAATCATCACTGGTAATGAGGAGACCGTATTGATTGAAAAACACTTACAGTTTCTCCAAACAAAGCACAGCATCTGTATGTCCTTTATACTAACTTTGAGAACATGGTCTGAAAAGTTAAGCCTTTCATCAAAAAGCACTCCAAGATCCCTAGCGGTAGCCTTATAAGAGAGAGTATCATTATTTAATATATAGCCAGTTGAAATTCTACTCCTACTTTTGAAAAAAAACTTATGAAAAAGCATTCATTAGAGTTCAGATACAAGTGATTAAGCTGTGTCCACTGCCACAGCGCATCAAGGTCCCGCTGAAGTTCCACCATGTCATATTTCCCGGTTATTGTCCTGTAAATTTTCAAGTCATCAGCATAGTTCCTTTGGAATGAATAAGAACATCAGGGATGTCATTCACAAACAAAATGACGAAAAGAGGAGAACAATGGGACCACTGAGGAACCTCTGATGTAACCTTGAATTTCGAAGACAGATGTCCACTAATTTTAACAGATTGAGTCCTACTCTTAAGGAAGCTGTCCAACCATCTTATAGTGTTTTCTAAAAAACCATAAGCTGACAGCTTTTCCAATAGAATGTCGAAGTTCACTCTGTCAAAGGTTTTAGAAAAGTCTGTGTAGATTGTATCCACCTGGTGACTCTTTTCCAAGGCCTCCAATAGATCAACTTTATAAGACACCCAATTCTCCACAGTTGATCTACCCTTAGTAAACCACGGCAATACCAGTTAAGTTGGTCATATATCAAGCTATCAAAAAGTTTCGGAATTGATCATTGGGTACATACACCTCTGTAATTGCTAATATCTTCAACATCTCCTGACTTAAAAATTGGCTTAATATAATTGTGCTTCCAAGTGTCAGAAAAAACACCTGTTTGGATGGACATGCTAAAAATAAGATGCAAGGGTTTAGTAAGTGTAAAGATACATTCTTTGAGAAAAACCTCAGGAATTTGGTCAAGACCCGAGCTGAACTTCACTGGGTGACTTACGATTTTATTAAATATTTCCTCAAGAGAAATTTTGTTTAGTAGTATATCTCCTGTCTTCTCAAATAAAAAAGAGGGTACAGGATGTACAGAACTATCATATACACCACTAAAGTGCTTTGTTAACAAATTACTTATTGTCTTCCCATCTTGCACTCTTACTCCCTCTATTAGGTAAGCCACTCGAATGTCTTAAACTCTTTACGTATCCCCAACAGTGCCGTGGATCGGCTACCAAAGATTCCTGAACTCGATCAATATGAATTGCATGACATCGCTTATGTTCTTCTTTACATAAAGAGCGCAACTCTGATAAAGTCACATAGTTCTCATATTGGTTTGTTTCTATGAAAATCTTATGAGCAATCTTTTTTCGACAGACTTTAAGTTCAGGGCTGAACCATTTAGGGTAACAGGAATTTTTTATCCGCTTTTGAGAGACAAACCAATACAAGCAATTTTGTAAGACTCCATAAAACCTTTCAACTGCCACATTCACATCTACATCACCAAATAGTGCATCCCAGTCACATGATGCTAAATAATCATTAATTGCAGTAAAGTTAGCATTTGTAAAATCGTAAAAGAGCTCATCAAAATCAGATTGACTACATTTTGCTAAAATTGTAAAGGCATAGGCTCTGTGGTGCACACTCTCTGGCAATAAAATATCATAAGCTGGTAACACATTGATATAAAACAAACTAGAAAACAATAAATCTAAAAACACATTACGCTCATTCGGAACATTATTGAGTTGTAACAAATTGAGATAGGAGAATGTTTCTGTCAATCTACGTGCCCGTGAATTCTCAGGGCAATGGACAAAAGGATCACCATCATTATACCAAGTTGCCTTCGTAAGATTATAACCACCAAAGATGGCCACGTCAGTTTCTGGAAAAATTTCAGGAATTTCAAGAAGAGATCAACAATGGATGTCATATTTAACTGATGAAGAATTTGGTGGAACTTAGACGGCTCCAAAAATGATGGTTTTCTTGCAAAATTTCACTTCGACAAATAGCTGTTCGACTTCTTCAGAGGACAACTGCAGTTTGCGGAACTTTAGAACACTAGAGACAGCAATAATCACTCCAGCACCCCGCCCTTTATCACTAGTAGAAGCACTAAGATCCATTCTGAAGACATTGCATCCTTGAAAATTAAGTTCACTGGTTGAGAAGGATTCATTCTCCAGAAGGATGATGACCGAGTAATCACAGAGATTTACTGCCTCCTTACGAGTATCAATTTTTGTTCGAAGTCCACCGACGTTCTGACAATAGCAGCTTATCATTTGGTCATCTCGTTCAATCAGTTTTTTGAACGAGAGGAATTATTAATTTTGGAAATGTAGGGAATGCCAGTGTGATATCTAATGCCGATATCTGGAGCATTCAATAAAAAGTAAAAGTTTTGATAAAGTCAGGTTATCCTGAGTCAAGGGCAAAAAGAATCATATTGGTTTCACAATAATTATCTTAATTTGAACTTAGAGAGCATAGAGTATACTCTGACATTTATTGAAAATTGAAGTATATCGTGTGAAAAAAAGTTCAATAACCCAACGTATTAGATAGGCATTTGTTATAAGAAAATAGCGTCAAGTACGTTGACTCTGAACATCCCATGCAATGCCGTCAATGATAATGTTCAGCACAAGTTAGACTATCTGAAAAAAGCTAGATACGGACATGTAAAACAGAGAAATTAAACAGGCTCTTAAAATTAGTTCATAGACATTCTTTTTCTTCTCTACCGGTAGTACCTTCCATCTAGCAATGTCTCTCGCCAATCCTGACCGTACCACGCGTCAGATTTGGCACTGCGGTAGTAATGGTAGGACACTTGTGAAGACCGGCACATTTCTCTATTATTCTAGACAAATGTATGGGGAAATCTATGATGTGTGAAATATGTCTAATAGGTGCGTGGAATTACCGAGGTTAGGAGCATATAAGTATACTAATATATAAAATTGAGATATAGCCTCCCCCACCCCTCAAAACCCCCAATACCGAATATTTAACACCCACAAAAAGATTTCTGGAAATGAACAGGAAATGTTTATTTTACATATACATAAATAACATCCGTAAAAGATCTCATTTTCTAAAATTCTCGGTATTACAATACTTCCACTCCAGATTAGGTATATGCTTCCAACTTTTTTTGCGTCAACCTTTGTAAGAAATTTCCTTAGTTTTTTGTATAAAAAAGTGTGATTACAATTTTATAGGACTTCTCCCAAAAGCTTTTAAGGCAGGCGGTTATGTGAGATGCTCCTTTGCAGCTTGGGGACAATTTTCGCATCTGATGACTGTCCGCCACATAGGCTGAAGACATATTCAACACGTTTTTGGTAATAATTGTGACTAGAATTACGGAAATTTTGAGAAAAAAGTTAAAATGATGTTACGTCTAAAGCTAAGAATGCAAAATTCAAATCATCTCTATCCGCTATATTTTATTTTGAAGCACCATCTTTCGAGCGTGCCCCTCGCAAAAAATTAGGGTAAACCTCAGTTGCGACATTTTTCCACAGATGATTCTGGTAGAGTATGCAGTATCTGAACACCAATAGTGTTAATTTTACAATCGTAACTGGCAGATTGCAAATTCTTACGTAATA